AGAGATCAATATTCCAAGGGAAATAAGCTAGAGACAGAAAGACAAGTGCTGCATGATTTCACTTGTATGTGGATACGAAAAGGTTGATCACAAAGATCTTTATAGAATGGTGATTACCAGATACTGGGGAGAGTACAGTGGAGAGAAGGGTGAGGAGGATGTTAAGTCATATTCAGTTGTAAGAAGTTGTGGTGTGCTGTTGTGAGTAGAGTGACTATAGGGAACCGTTATGTATTGTGTATTTCAGAAAACTAGAAGAAATGAATGCGAATGCTTTTACCAGAAAGAGATGGTCAATTTGAGGAGAGATTAAGGTTTACTCTAGATTTAAAATTATACCATATATCAGAGATGTCAAGACTTTTTTAGGGACTAAGTGTCCAAAATGCAGCCCTAAATACAGTTACTTTTCACAAAGTGCCAACAGTGCGATTTGTCCTTTATTCATTAAGTTTATTGGTACATTTTAGGTATACACTATGATAACATTCATCATTGGGAATTTGTATCTTTTTAAAATTTTTTATTGAGTTTATTGGTACCTTTTAGGTATACAGTATATAAGACCCTAATGAGATAACTGACATTGTGAAATGGAAAGAAAAGGGCTAAAGGTGTAGGGAAGATGGGAAAGGTAGGGGAAAGGGAATAAGGGAAAAGAAAAACGTGAGAAAATGAAAAGATGAACATAAAGAGAATTTGTATTACTTGATACATCTTGGTTCTTATTTTTTTCCCAATTTCCCTTCCTTCAGCCTTTCCATCCCTCCCTATTTACAAAGATTTTGTTTCGGCTTTTCTCCTTTTTTCATATTTATTCCTCTCTTTTCCCCTAAACCTCCCACTTCCCTTGGGAGCCAACTGTGCAATTAAGCCTGAATACTGAGATTCTAGTTTAGTAAAACACCCTTATCTAATGCTCAACTGCGGGGGGCGGGGCTTGGCTGTCACACCAACAGAGGGCTCTGTGTGCCTGCTGCAGCACCCATCCCATAGCTTGCTCAGCACTGCCGAATGTACACACATCCACACATAATAAGGAACCTCAAAAATGTGCAAGTGTTGTGTTTTAGTGTATTCATTACAAGTATTTAAACAATTTCTAAAATAACAAATTGGCTTTGTCTATATCCACTATATCCACTTTTTTATAGAATTAACTCAACTTGAAAATATAGAAAATATGTACAATGAATAATTATGAAGAAAGATGATGATATCAGATATATAAAGTACTATTCTATATCGACAGTAATAAGGTAAAATATCTAAATTACAAAATAACAACAGATTTTGAACAGGAGCTCTGTAGTAAAAGATATAAGGATGGCCAATAAGCTATGAAGAAGTGTCCAACTTCATTAATCGTTAGAAAATCCTATAAACCAGAATTAAATAATACTTCATAATCACTATAATTGCTAAAACGTAAAAATAAGAAAAATAAGATACAATCAAAAATTTCTTCAGGAAAAATGAACCACAGTCTTTATCCTTATTTCATTAAAAATAATAACAATTATAATTTAAAAAACATCACATACTTATTTTACACATAAAACCTAGAACCATAAAGCTTCATGACTTTGGAGTCATAAGTTGGCTTGTGATAGCACTGAAACTATTATATGGGGAAGGTGTTTGTGTAAAATCAGCTTAGAGAAATATTTGACAATTTCTTCTAAAACTAGAGCCCTGCACTACTTTATGATGCAGCATTTCTAGTACTAAGTGTTTAGTAAATTTTTAAAAAACTTGAATGTACAAATGCAGAAGAAATCAGTTAAAAGGAAGTTCCAAACCCTAAAATAATAACAAAATCTAAAATGATAGAATAATTAAAAATTACAAATCCATTGTTATTATTTGGATCTGAAATGACCCTGTACTAAATGTTTGATTGCCAGCTTGCAGCACTTCTGGGATGAGGCAGAATTTTTCAGAGGTGGAGCTTAGTGAAAGAAATTAGGTCTTTAGGGTGAGCACTTGCAGGAGACACTGCAACCCCAGCCCCTCCATTTCCTGGCCAGGATGAGGTGAACAGATCTCCTCTACCACACCCTCCCACCATCTTGTGCTGCCTCATCACAGGCCCGAGGGCAACAGGGCCAACTAATAATGGGCTGACCCGTTAACTATGAGCAAAAATAAACCTTTTTTAAATTGTTCAGATTAGGTTGTTTGTCTTGGTGATAAAAAGTTAATCTACCATAGCCACCCCTAGGAAAATGATTCAGCAATATGTGGTTTGTCATTACAATACAAGATTTCTTATCTTTGAAAAGGAATGAATCAATACATGTAGCAACATGAAAGAATCTTATAGAAATTAGACAATAATATTAAGTGAACTAAATCAGACATGTAAGTGCAAATATCACATGGGTCCTTTTACATGACAAATCCAACTTATAAATTAAAAGCAAACTAAAAGATAGATAATAGGATATAGAGAGATCTTTCTCATTGTGAAGGGAATAAAGATATGGAAGGAGCGGGGGAGAGAAAGGATAGATGATGAATAAGGAATTAAGATGTGCTATGTGCACACAGCAGCTCCACACAAGGAACGCAAGCATTGTGAACTGCAATATGGACTAATTAAAAAACAAGTTAGGCCACTTGAACAAAGTGGGAAGCACAAAGAGAAATACTGTAAGATTTCCTTTAGAAAGGGTCAGAACTTAGAGCGATCGAAGCCAGAAAGTGGCTTCCTCTGTACACAGGAGTTAGATGGAAAAAGGTTGTGAGGGAAATTTCCAGGGTGGTAGCCAGGTTCCTAACTTAACTGGGGTGATGCTGATGGATACAGTTGTCATATTATAACAGAAAATGTAAGGACAATATGCAGTTTTATTGCATGTCATTTGCATGTCCATTTTTAAAGTGTTTGCCTGAAACACCATTTAGGAAGGGGTTAAGAATAAAGCCTTAATTCTGTTGAATGATGCTTTTTTTGTTGATCTTTTTTTCAAAAGCAGCACCCTGAGGCATTAACTGGATAAGGAGGAAACTCTAGATTGTCCCCTTAAAAGAGAAAGAACAAAATACTTTTTTTTTAGAGGAAAAGTACTCTGGTTTATATTATGTCCTCATTCATTTAATGAACAATTTTTTTGAGCACCTATCATCTCACCTACTCCAGGTACTGGAAATAAAAAGAGGTGACGATTATCTTCAACAATTTTCCAGTACGGGAGAAAAATTAGTTCATAATAGGGGGTACTCAGCTTGAACAAAGCAAGGGAAGGACCTGTGGAAAAGATCACATTTGAGCAGGCCCGACATGAATATGAAGGAGGCTATTTGGAATTCGGGGATAAAACTGAAAAATTTAAGAATGCACTTAGAGGTTTCAGATAAATTTTTAAAAATTGTATAGCCCTTTGATTGCTGTGTTATTTTATATACATATAACATAAGAAAGCTAATTATGGTGTTCACAATCCTGTGCATCATTACTCTTGCTTTGAAACAGAACTTTTGGCACAACGCAGACTGGAGTGTGGGAGGATGTCATTATCTAATACATGAATGAAACTCTACTCTTACAAAACCTTAAATGGAACCTTGAGTGCACTGGTCAGCATTTCTGACACATGTGAGAGGATCTAGGATTTCCACTCCCTGCATAAGTTTAGTGTGTCACCCTGGACATCTGCTAATGATGAACATCTGTTTTTTTGTTTTCACTGGACTGCCAGAAAGAGAATGGAGTCATTAGTTATTCCACAATGTGAAGTTATCCAGAACATTATCCTTGTGTGAGGAATAATAATGTCAGGAAAGCCATATCCACTACAATTAATTCTAAAGTTCACTTCACTCTGAGGGTCATTACAGGCACAGTTTCAAAAACACTGGCCAAACTGCCACAGTCTCTAAATTAAAACCAAAATAGTTTTATACAGCATTTATCACTCTGAAGCCATTGTTAACTAGTGTTTTCTGAGTACCCTCCCCCCCAAAATGAGTAACTATATGGTAAGGTATTTACATATCTGATGCATTATTTAATGTTTAAGTTATGCTTAGTGTTGCTATAGTTCAATATTTTCTAAAAGTAAATGACTCATGTAATGTACTTTCTATAAATTTAATTTTTTGTTAAATATCATAATTATGTTGTTCAGTAATGTTGAATAACTGAGAACTTCCCATTATGCTAAAGACCAATTAGAAAGGAAGTAAACTGTTGTACATAGTATTCTTTTTATATATTGCAAAGTATAATTCAAATTCACTATCAGTTAAATATGTTAATCACCCACAGGCCATAAGATACTATTACATGTGAATCTGAATAGTTGGAATGTTACATGGTGCACGGTTTCTTGCTGAAGAAATGTAAATACAATATTAATATGTTTAAACATATCCTTCTAAAATACATGTAATAGATGTAAAATCTTTTTCTAAATATAAAAATGCTGTTATACATTTAATATGTGAAGGCTTTGTAGATTATTCATTAGACAGTTGTTTAAATTCTATGTATATATTACATAAACATTTATTCAACACATATGTAGAATTATATTTACTTATGATGTTTATAATCTGAATTTAAAGGCAACAAGAAGAAAAAGAATATACATAAAATAAATGTAAAAATAATGTGTTATTCAGATATCTGTAAGAAAACCTGAAAAGCCCATGAGTCATTAGGTGAGGGTATGGCTTACTTTATATACATATAATCAAATCATTTATATTCCATAATTGTTCATTATAAGTATCAATTAAACTATATTTTCAGAGACTCTTTTGTGAGCCCCTAAATATATTCTGCATTTCTGATGGATCATTCACAGAGATTATCTCATTTCTTTTTATAATGTGTTTGTTCAACTCTTCTGCAGCTATTTTTCCAGCTGCCCACAGTTATAGGTGTTCAAGGTTTGCTTTAATAATAAAGTTAGTGTTTGAAATGTAGAATGGACCACTAGGTAATTGAAAAATATTGACTCATTTAATCAATCTAACCATTTTTTTTGTAGGAAGATGTAAAAAATGAATATCTGCAAAAGGAACAACAAAAAGAATGGAAAGATTTTAAGGTATAGTACTATATATAGCAAAAAATATATAGGACAAAAATCAGGATTTTTTAACAGACTGTGTAAAATTAGTAATTTCAGAGAATGTGAACAAATAATTATAATGAATGCACCTTAAAGAATATATTTCTAATTAAAACTATAACCTTTGGTTCTTTGTACAATCTTGTAAGAGATGTGTAAAATAATTTCAAATCATAATCATTTTCTCCCAAAGTACAAGACATATTTTTAAAGTATACTTAGCAATGCTAAGTATTTTATATATGTTTTTCTATTTATTTCTTTTAGCTACAACTTCTGCTCTCCTAGTTTATAAAAGATGATACTAAAGATTGGAAAGATTAAAGAATTTGTTTAAGTTTCTTGTTTAAGTGACATTAGTTAATGTAGTTAATGTAGTAAGTTATATTAGGCAACAAGAGTATACCTAATTTCAGGCATAATGAATTTTTAGTTTTAGGTTTCTTTCTTTTGGGGCTATAACTGTGTCTGCAAAGAGAACATAAAACTATCTTTATTTTATGCAATTTAAATTAAAGCTTAGTGATTTCCTCCCAATGCTGTGGAAGTACTCCCAATTTTTGTCATTTTGAAAAGTTGACTGCCAGAATCATCACCACCATCATCTTCGTCACCACCTTACTGAAGCTTACCAGAGAGAGACCTTCCATAGGTATACTGAGTGGCTAAAAGCCTTTAAAGATTCCACTTGTGTACATATTTAAGCATGTCAAGAAACAGTATAATGAATATTGTGGCATACTTAAGTCTCCAATACATGTATCATAAGGAAAATAATACAACATACCGATCTAAGATGCATCATCTTTTAAAGTAGCAACCTGTCTTTAAATTTCTGGCTAAACTTTAGTCTCATGTGATATAAGACATTTCATCACTGGTAGAAAGTAAAAATGGCACTCGGAGATTTTATATAAGGCATTTTTCCAATAAAGTCCCGGGAGTAATGGTGTCGCTCAGTGGTGAAGTATGGGGTTAATATGCATAAGGGCATGGGTTGAGATGTTGGCACCAAAACAAAAACAACAACAAAAATTTAAAAAAAAATGCTCCTCTGGATTTTTCAGATAAAAAAATAAAGAATTGTTGTGTGTTGGTTTGTTTGTGTGAATGTCCCAAAACGTCTTTCCTGGGTTGTTTTCTGGAGCACTGTAACTAACTGTAAGTTAGTATGTGTTTATTTCCTTGGTGATGTAAGTGTGTAGGATAGGTTGGGGACATTGACCCATTTAGTAAGAAGAAGTGTTTCAAAGGATCTTTCCAAATATTTATTTCTCTTAGGAGGAGAAGAGTGAGACAAAGAATGGGACTAATGCCCATGTGAAAACGCTCCTTCCCATAACCATCTGCAGTGATTCAGTCTTTGGCAGGACACAGTTTGCTCTTGCCTTCATAAATTCCCGATTCTGCGTTTTTAAAGATAATTCTTCTAATTTTGTTTTTCAGATTCTTGTCAGTCAATAAGCTCTGATTTAGTCTTTGTAAGAGATATATGTTTCCACTCATAATAGAGTAATAAAGCTAACTCTATTGTTGAAATATGTACATTTTTTTCTTTTAAATTTGGGGGTTTTTTCTAACATAAAATTTGATCATTTCTAAACTCCTGATACTTAGTATAAAATTGTTACATTTTAGCACTTTTCTCATTTTACTTTTGAATTCCAAACCTCATTGTTTTAGTTGTTCATGGTTTATAGTAATTTTTCTTCTACCAATTTTTGCTGCCCCCACTTAAGTTCTTTCAGTTCCCTGAGCAAACTCTCTTGTTTGAAACACCTACATGTAAACTGACACAAAGCTTTGTATTGTATGTGTTACCAGTAGACTGTGAATGTGGGGGGGGCATGAAAGCCAGCAGGCACATTGCCCATCACACAATGAACACTCAGTTATTGTGATAAATGAATACATGAATGTCATGCATGCTGCCCATGGTCAGCAGAGGCTACTATTGTTAAAGTGACTCATGATACATTTTCCATAATGTTACTGATGCCATCACAGATCAATATGGGGAAAGGTTTCCTATGAGATCTGTGAGCTCAAGCTTCTTTCATTGAAGCTGCTGTGGTCTTAATGACACCACGCTGCCAGACAATGATTCTGCATATTTAGAATATGACTCAGGGAGCTTCTAGCTGGATACAGTATATTAGCCTCTTACAATTATTAAGTATCTTGTGAGGACATTTTACAAAGAGTGATTCACAGAGTTGTATTTAAAGACTGTTGCTCTTAACCCAAGATAATAAGGACTATTTGCCAACTGTACATCTGCACCGAAAATTTTGGTAAAGATGTCCCTGTTACCTGCCGTTTGATGATTTGTCTTGGTAGGATGTTTGTTCTGTTGCCAATGAGCTGCCATGAGAATCAGCCTTGATTTATTTTCTTCCTGTCATGAATCCATAGGGGAATATCAGAATACCTGGATGTTTAATAAAAAATCTACTGAAAGTGAGCCCCTTAAAATTCAGTTTGGATGCATTTTATGTGCATTTACAAGGACAGAATGTGATGTCAGTGTTCACGCTCCTTAGCATAGTAGACCTAAGCAATATATCCCTTATAGATATTTGATTCATTCACAAAAACTGCAACAAAAAAATAAATGGAAAAGTGTGGAAAAATGTAGTGTGCACAGTGATGTGAAAGTCAGTGTTTAACGAATTGCTTTCCCTCTGCTTTGAAAAAACTTTCTGATTTGTACAACTGGTCAAATTTTCTGGTGTATATACTCTCATGATAGCCAGTTTCAAATTCCTAACACAACGGCACTGTACATAACCTTCAGGATAAGGAAACTAAGTAAACGTTAAATATTTGGGAGCTGGAAATATCAATTTTCATCCTTTTTGATAACTGCTGAAGCATTTCCTGGGTTTTGGCCATACAGTCAAGTCGGTCTACATATTCTTGCTGATTCTTTTAAATTAATTTTTGGGTTTTTTTTGGGGGGATACCGGGGATTGAACTCAGGTCCGTGCAGTTGCAAGGCAGGCCACGGAACCACTGAGCTAAATCCCCGGACCTTAAATTAATTTTTGTAGTGAAAACTAATTGATAATTATGCTGCCCCTTAATTCATTTGACAATATATTACAGGTAGACTATCATTTAGTGTCACCATCAATCCTGTCTCTTTTCAGACACCCTTGCTATTCAAGCAAGTTTGGACTCTTCATTATTATTATTAATTTTTTGTCCTTATTTTCCCTCCAAGGTTTTGAGTTTTCTTTTCCTTCCAAATTATATTTCAGCTCTTTTTGTTATGTGTTCCCTGATTCCTCAGTCAATTCAGGTCCTAGTCTTCCTTCAAATCACAGTACCTGCTACTCTATTAAATTATTGTGGCTGCCTCTTAGTTCCTTCCTTAGGGAACATATCTGGTGTGTGATCAACAGGTGCTTGGTTATGTTCTGAAATGTTATCTGTTAACAATTTTCACATTTATTTCTATAATTTTAAATATATTTTAAGATATATATGAATAACAGTCATATAAAATAGAATGATACTGAAAAAATAAGCAAACCCAATAAATAATATAAATCTGAATATAAAACTAGAAAAATGAACAGTTTGAAAAGTAGACCCAAAGCTTTTATTGAGTTTTGATTTTGTAACCTTAAAGCATTTCCAATCTTTTAATAGTTTGAACTAAAAATGGGTATGAAACATACCTTCAGTCTGTATTTACTCAAGTTCATTTTCATAAGAAAATGTACATAGAGTTTGGCAGAGGCACACACAGTCTGCTTCCCTGGGCCATGAGCCGGCTCCAACACACCTGTGGTTATCAAACCAAGCTTCTTTGGTTAGACTGAGTAAGTTGAATGAGGGACAGAGGTATTGTGAATCTTAGTCAAATTGAGAGTCAGAGCAGAAATCTACTTTGGCATAGAAAAGATTAAAGTGAATAAAAGCATTAGAAAAAGGGAGAGTAAAATTACTTTTCAAAATGCTTATGACTCCATATTAAACTCAAAGCATACTTAGAAATTGCTATGTAAACATTTAATAGGTGATAGAAATATAAGTACAACTTACAGACACAGCTCTTCAGTGATTTTTAGTATTAAGAAGAGGACAGACATGGACTGGTGACCTAATATTCAGTAGACCTGCTAAGTTATAGTGGTCAACAGTATTTGTGATAATTGTTTGGTATATTTTAATTAATTATTATATTTAATAAACATCTCAATTTAAGAATATTAAGAAACTTATTACTCTCAAGAAAAGATGAAATGGGCGCAATTTATCACATATGTCCAAAATGTGTTACAAAGGCACAGCTCAATTCTACACAAATTCCCCCAAAGTGAAACAAAACAAAACAAAAAAATCTCACTCATTTATATTATATCTAATATGGTATTTTTTGCCTCTTAATCCAGTGTCCAAAACATGCAATTCTAAGAGAAAAAAATGAAATATAAAATGTCAAAGTGTCCTAGGTATATTTTGTTGATTATAGATGCCTGATTATATTAACTTTCACTGGCTCTAGTATCAGGCCTGGACTGTATCTATTTGAGTGTTAGAAAAATGAAGTACTTTTTAGCTTTCTCTTCTCATGGTTATATTTCAGCAGTTCTTCACTTTCCCACATAGACCCTGTTTTTCTTTTCTTTAATTATGTTGCTGTTCTCTTCTGGAACCTCAATGATTAACATGAGACTCCTAAATTAAATTTCACTTGTTTTGCTTGTCTCTATGTACCAAGGTATTATATTAACTGACTTGATGCCTCAGGCTAGAATTCATGACTGAAATAGAACATATTACTGAGCAGTGAGGTGCTTTTTCTTTTTGCCTATTTTACCAAGGATCGATTTTAATAATAAAATCTGCTTATTCTTCCCACTGATATTATTACAAAATGAAATAATCATTAATCTCTTGAACTATGTCTATAGCTTTTTACAGGAAGAATAAACCTTTTCTTTGTCCTTTCTTTTTAAATAGTGACTTTCATCTCTTTGAGAACATTGAGAGTTGTAATAGGTGTCCTGTTTGTCTCTTCTGGCTTGTAGAATTTGGGACTCTTTGATGATAAAGTCTCTTGTTTGTAGAAATACGGCCAGTACTAAACATATAATTGATACATAGGCAAACTTTAATGAGAATGAGCAAAATGACAACAGTGAATCTATATCTAGGTACTTCAAATGGCTCAGTATTTCCTGGAGTATATAAAAAGAAAATTTATATAACTTACTAGTCAGTTGCAAGAAGAAGGTATTAAATGCCAAGTACAATATACTTACAAATTTTGATTTGAAAAGCCAGTATATCAAACCCAGTGGAAAGAAAGCTTTAAAGTCCATGTAAACAGCTATTGTTCTAGGACTTGCTGTTCTCCTGGTTATTTATTTTCTGTTTAGATGTCCAACTCTCATTTATGATAATTATTCATAGTAAACTTCAACGTGGAGGAGGCCAAGCCAGAACACAAATGGAAAGTCTTGATGTCCACAACTTAGAGTTTAGAATTCAAGCTGTACACTTCAAGCAAAAGGTAACCAAGCAGTTTAGTCTCTGAGACATACAAAGCTTCTTAGGTACCTGAACAGGCAAGTGGCCTCTTAAAATAGCACCAAAAGGTATGGACATCAGTAGGAGAAAGGTTTTCTGAGCTCATCTTCCTGGTTTAATAAGATAGCCATGTAGCTAAAATATGTACCAAGATTGTTGGGTACAACGTTATAGAATCACAATTATGCATGATTTATTAATTGTAAGTGAAGGTTAACTCTCTTAAGAAGTCTTTAAATTTTCAGTATGTTTTTTAATAGTAAGTTTATTTATACCAGTATGTATGAAATATCTATGAAAGGGCCACAAATATTATTATATGATGTATATATTTTATGGATATACAGATAATGCATATTGATAGTTATAAAAGTACTAGGCACATAATCAGGGCCCTATTATCTTTCGTTAGTACTTTTACATCTTTGGTAAATTTGCATTATATATTTCAAACAAAAAATAAGATTATAAATAACCTTTTTTTTTTTTTTTTACAAATAAAAGCATTTGCCATGTGATGATTGCTGTTTTTTCCACATTTGGCTACATGAATTTAATGTTGTTTTGAGAATCCAAATAAAGTAACTGCCTGGCTCTCCTGCAGGTAAAATTACTCCTTGTAGCTGGACTACTTTTCTAGTAATAAGCTTGACCACTCTTCATCTGCTGCTTTTGATAAAAGACATAATCAACTGGGAAATACGAATGCAGCTTCTAGACAGAGCTAAGCTGTTCCGAGGATGAATTGCTCGGTGGGCCAAATTCTGTCATCAGAAACCCACAGGCAGTTCTCACAGGAATAAGTGTCTAAGGGTGTGGGAATATGTGGACGGATTTTACCATTTGTGTTTAACTTGGCAGTTTCTGTCTCCACTGCTTATTTCATTGTTTTGTAACAATGACATCTTCCTACATGATTC